TAGATTGGAATTAAATTGCAGGATTCAAATAACATTTCAATGGGATTACAAATACAACTTTTTAGATAGTGAGGAAAATTGGAAAAGGGATAACAATACTTGGATGATTGTACTCAATATTTGGGGTTACAATATGTGAGTGTGCACACACACACGTGTGTGTATGAACACAAGTGACAAAGGAAATCTTTGTCTCTCCTCACCATGAAAAACTGACAGTTTCCACCCTCACGTAAAATCTCTCTGAACACAACTTTAAGGTTCTTCCTTCAGTTTCACTGTTTAACCAAAGCATAGAAATAATGGAACTGTTCCTTAGGTTTATACATTTATTGAATTTGGAGAATGTCACAGATAATCCTTTCCTCTCTTCAATATGTTCATATTTTTCTCTCAGATACTTCCGTTATACTTTCCAGTTTCACTCAAGGTAGATGTTTTTCCTTTTTTTTTTTTTGTTGTTTGAATGGTAAGAAATGATTTTGGGAGAAAAAATACTTAAGAACTCAAGGAAAGAAAGCAAAAGAGCAGAAGTTTAGATATTATTCTTTGTAAAGGAAACTTCTTTTTTACATGCCTGAATGAGTACACCTGCTGGATTTTTCTTACTGCATTTGTGTGTTAAGAACATTTTATGTTATTTACCCATGTGTTGCAATACAGTCCTCTTTGGGGAGAGCTGCCCTGACATTTTATTTGAAGTCATTATAGCTTCGGGTACACACTGCAGATGTTCCTGTTGTGCCTAGTGCTTGGTTACAAGGAACATGAAAATGGCACTGGCTGGTTCATTCTCCTTTTACCACTCCCAGTGAACCCATTCACTAAACCAGGAAGAGCAGCCAAACCTTAGTTCATAGTAAAATGAACAAGAAAAGACAGGATTCCCCACTAACAAAATCTTGTCTCAGCTTTCAAATTCTAGCAAATTTCACTTGAAGAGATTTCCTATGTTTTAACCACGCAAACATGAACAGTATCTGCATCTGTCACTAGGTTTGTGTGTCTATAAAGAAATATTCTCTTTGCAACCCCTAGAAGCCAGTGCTTCCCTTCATTCCTTGTGAGGATCCAAGAAGACATTCTTTGGGTCCTGCTGAAGCAGCAACACTGTAAGGAAATTGGCTTGATAGTTATTTATTTATAATTATTAAACAACAATAAGATGAGATCGTTACTTTAAGTGAGGGAGAAATCACCACACAATTATGTTATGTATTTTCATAACAGTATTTAGAATATTGTCTTATGAAATATACTGTATGATGCAGAAATTTGTAACTGAAAATTTCTTGTTTTCACAGGGATAAACACACACACACATGCAACACAACATATCTGCAAAGTGTGACAGGGCACAGAGCAGTGTGGTGGGCAAAGAATGTCATTCCTAAGTGAGTACTGATCAGGGCAGACTTATTTAAAGTAGCCTGTGTTCCGAAAGATGGATAAAAGAGCCCAGGGCTGTAAGAAAGAAAGAAGAAACTCTGGGAGGACAAGAGTAAGGCACACGCTGATGGTAGAGGAAACCACAAAGACGTGGAGGAAGTTATAAGGAGATACGAAACTGCCAGATCACAAATATAAAGGTTGCAACTTGGTGGAGGAGGCTTTTAGAACGCTTGCTTCCTTTACTCTGCGATTGATAGGGTCCTAGTAAGTGTTTTAAAATCTTATGTCCACAGTTGTCCTATCATTTATAGAGAAAAGAAGACAATAGCTTCCTGGTATCTGTTTGGGTAACTCAGATTCTTGCAGTGAGGAAGAAAACATTGGAGCTGCAGTTTTAACAATGAATTTGAGGTCATTTTGATATAGGGGAATGAAACTCCTAACCTACTATGTCTGGTACGAGTTTGCTCTCTAAAATCAAAGAATGAATCTTAGGAACAATAGAGGGTAAGAGTAGAATATATTTATTGAGAGAAAGAAAGCTTCTGTCTGAGAGAGACAGAAAAGGGTCGCAAGTGGGTTGCCAAGGACTCTGTTTTCCAAGGACTTTTATAGAGTAAAACCATGGGGAAAACTGGGAACTCACAAGGCAGACAGGCATAAGATGGGACAGAACTATGGTTAGCCAATAATAATCCAGGCAAAATTGATTAAATTAGGGACAAATGGGGAAATGAGTCACATAAAGGTGGGCATTCCTAGAGAGCAGTGACTTCCCCAGGGGGTTGAGAGGGTGATTGACTTCCTCAGAGTGACACAGAAGTATTTAGAATATTAGTCCTTAGGATGTGGATGTATTGATGTATTGTACTTGATCTTTTGTCTCGAGGCCTGGCCCACATCAGGAGGTATCTGTCTCCCCCATCATCGCAAGGTACCTGGGCTTTTGCACTGCTTCCTTCCAGGACCTAGCACTGTCTCACTGCCTATATTGTATTTCTGACTAACTCAGCTACCTGCAACAATTTGAACATAAGATTCCAAAAAGCAAGGCATTTTTGACTGATAGTTTTAATTCGCTTTTTATTATTGTTTGCTTATTTACTTTACAACTATTGTAGATTACTAACCAAGCTTTTGAAATTTTGATATGATATGAACTTAAAGATTAAATTGGCTTTTTTGGGTTTAGTCAAGTCATATCCTGATTTAAATGGAGATAGTAATCTACTTTACAACTAAAACTGTACAAGCGGAGGTAAATTTCTTAAATTATAATAATATTTCATTCTGAAATTATATAACATCCAATCATACTTTTCTAAAAATCATACCATGCTTTGCTAAGAAAGACTGCCTCTTCCAAACTAAACTCTATGTATAGTGTATTCCACAATGCAATGATCTTTAATGTTACTCTGTTCCACAGAGAGATGCCCTAATCCTTACTAAAACAAAAGATATTCTAAAAAATTATCTAGCAACATAAACCCAGAGACTATATATACAGGATATTTATCAGATAATTTCCAACTTTTTGGAAGGAACAATGAAAAATGATTGTAAATTTCAAATGTGACTGCTTCTAATTCTTAAAAAAATATGTAATAGATTTCTAAAACATAATAAAATATATGTGATGGAACATTAGGAAGACACTAAAATTTGCTTAATAGCAAGTCATTGTTAGAAAGCACTGTATGAAACAAGACAATATTAATTGTGGTGCCTCTGAATGAAAAGAACTAATAAATTAAATATATTGCCACTGATTTTTCTGTATGTTCATACTTTTCTATATAGAATACATTTTATTTTAAAATCAGGAAATAGAGAAATATAGACTGAAGAAAATAATAGAGAAGGAGTCTTTTGAAGACAATGCAGAAGGTGTGGAAAGGAAATACGAGTTATAAAAATGTTGTGCTTTTCATTTTAGGGACTAGAGGACACGGGGTAAAGTCATTTAAACTCCAGGCATTACCGCTACTTGTGAATTCTGTTCTCATTTTTAATTCATAGGAAAAGTTAGATTTTTATTACTCACTGTCAAATTCTCATTTGCTGCTCTGTCATCTTGACCCTGCTGATGTCTTCCTACCTTACTTCTACTATATTTCTCCTAGCACTGGAACCAAATTCTATCTGAGGTTTGGCAAAAACTCAAGGCACTTGAGCATTCCACTTTGAAAACACTAAGTATGACTGTAGAAATTCATCTATACTCTTAAAAATGATTTTAAAAAGAAATGAAACTTTTGGTGTGTATTTTGAGTCATATGATAAATCTCCAGTCCTTCGTATTTTTTTCTACTACAAAAGAAACTTCAGAGCATTTTCCCCCACTAGCATTGTTACTGGATAATTACTGGTATTAGAACACTAGTGTTTTAGAGGGTTATTCTTAGGAACTGACTTTCCTATGTGTTAAACATTTTTTTCTCACAGTTTTAGGTGATTTGTTTCTCTTTGTAGCATTGCACAAGTGACACATCATCACCAAACACTTGGTTACTTTTTCTTGTTGCTAAGACAAAATAACTCCTCCCAAGTTAATCCTTTGGGGCATAAGTCTCTTAATTTTCTCTGTAAATTTCTTAATTTTCTACTGTAATCTCTTAAGTTTCTACTGTAAATTTGTACGTGTGATAATGGCCAGCTGTGTATCTTAGTATCTTTCTCTGAGTGATTCAAGAAGCAGTTTATGGTTTATCCACTTGGTATGTTGAACAGCAATGAGTGCATGTGTGTGCAAAATTGTTAAAAAGGGATTTTGAATTACCTTTATGCACCATATAACCGGTTTTGTGTATGTTTACCTGAGCATCACAGAAGATCCGGTAGACCCACACCATTCCAGGATTTGTTTAAATCTTTTTCTTTTGATTTTTCTGGTAGAAGTAGCCTAATTCAGTAAAATGGCACATAAAAAAAACCAGATTTGAACTTTTTGGAGGAGGTCAAAAGTGAATCATCAGGATCATGCATGGATCATGGAGATGATCAATTATGGGAAAATATGTTTTTATAATAGAAGGGGTGTCTGGATGGATGGATGGTAATGATAAATAAAGATACTGATGTTTATCACTTAACCCAAATTCCTGTGACAGTGAAATGGAGCAAGAATTGACTGACAGACATAGGAAATACAAACTTCTTCTTTTCAGATGATGAAGAAAACAGCAATATGGGTACATATTTGGCTAACTGAAATACTGTGCAACATCTACACAACCAAGTGGGATAATCCAATGTTATAGCTAGATCTGAAAATGTAGTGACAATCGTGGCAGGGGTGAAACATATTGGACAGAATTCCAACACTGCCATGTAATGTTGCAAATTGTAACAGACAAAATGTTGCAAGATGCTGTGAAATATACAAAGGCTGAAATGCAAGTTAAACATTCTGTATGCACCAATAGCCATATTCAAAAATTAATTAGCCATGACACCTTACTTGCCAAACTGAAAGCATTCACAGATCTGCTGTACTTAGGACAGATTTCCTGTAGTTATCTTAGGAATGTAAAAGATTTATGGAAAAGTGATGGATCAAAATAAGGTATAAAAATCATGCACTTGTATAATCAAACATATTATGCTTTCATTTTAGACATTTATTATGGAACTCAGCCATGAGGTCCTTGTTCCTATAGTAATAAATCAAATGATACTGTGAACAGATTTTTTTCCTTCCATTTCCCAAACTAATCAGAATGTGACATTTGACAATTGGTTTACTGGATCCCACCTGATATTTTATTTGCTAATAGAGCACAAGTTGCCCAGGACAGAAACTATACAAAGAAACAAAGCAGAAATTCCAAATGCAATGTTGTAAATTTAAAACAGAGAATTACATGGTACAATCTTTGGATTTCACAATGATTTAACACTGACTTCATATATGGCAAAGAAAAACAAACTGGTACAGCTAATGTCAACATTTCTCCATGATGGAAATATTGATAGGGAAACCTCAACAAAATGGAAGCCCGAGATGAAATTGTCAATAACAAAACCAAACCAAAGACGACGTAGAGCTTTTGAAGAGTTATGCACCACCTATGATGTCACTTAAAACACAAAACATTCGCCAATGATTGTGTTTCACTGGATCCTGAACATGTGAGGTATAGTTTGATAGTTCACAAAGAAAATAACAAGGGCAAATTGTCACAGAGAAAGTTTCTCAGAGTTGGAGTCAAAGCTCGTAAACAATATTTACAGCAGAAGAAAACTAAATGTTTTTGCCCCGAGAACTATCTATGCAAAAAATGTGTGGAGCACAATGGTAAGCTGATAGGTAAACAAACAGGCACAGCATCACAAAGACCTACTACAATAACATAAAAAAATAAATGAAAAGATGTAAATTTTGCCCTACAAGAAAGTATAAGAAATCAAAACATAATACTATCAGTGTAAGTAATACTTGTATGAAGCATGAAGTTGTCAAGTATGAAGATTGCTTTCAGTGTGACAGTTTGAAGAAAAGTTCATTTTTATGGTTGACTTTTGCTTGTGCTTACATTATAGTTCACTAGACTTTTTGTTTTTGATGTTATCTTTTAGTTATTGTAAGCAAGAACACAATTGATGTGAAAATGTTGATGTCTATTCTAAACACAAAATACATATTAATAATTTATATACATAATATTTTACGTTCCTGTTAACTACACACTGAAAAATGTGCCTACTGACAAATTAGTAAGACTACTGAAAATTAAGAACCTACATAAATTAGTAAAACCACTGAGATGTCAAGCATGTCCCACAAAAAGGCCAGGAAAGCAAAAGACATGGGCTGTCATGTAAGTGATGTGTGGGAATGGAATGTGCTGTTGTAGGTACAGATGTCTTAGCGGTGATGAAGTAAAGATTATTTTTATACTCTGCTGTTACTATTTTCATTGTAGCTCATATGGGAATTTACTTATGGTGTTCTTTTTTAGATTTTGTACACCAAAAACCAGTTTATAGTGTCAATTTTTATAATAATTTTTATAATAAACATAATGCAATACTTTATTTTTGTGATTTTTCTGCTGAATATTCATCATTTAATACAACAAAACTCATAAAGTTAAAATTAAAAATTCATCAATAGAAATATTCTAAAGAATGCACATGGGACTGACAGAACTATGTGCTTGAATAATAACATTCATCTTATGCTCCAAGGGCTACAAGAGAAAATGCTTATTTGAGCTCAAAGTTCATACAGGTTTCAGTCCATATCTGATTGACTCCAAGAGGAGGTGGCATGGCACAGGAACATGAAAGAGGTGAAATAGTCCCTAGCAAGGCAGGCAGGAACCAGTCAGTCTGTCTTCTGTTTTTCCTATGTGTTCCATCCAGGCGATGAGCTTGGTTGGTGTTACTGCACCCAGGTTGAGGATTTACCCACACTCAGAACTCTGCTAAGCCAATCAGTGTACTAATTTAATTACCACACGTTTTATCCATATTCACATGACCTTAATCCACATTCACTTACTTTGAATCCAGCCACTTCCAAAATAAAGCACCACTTTTGAGTATATGAGGCTTTGTGGGGACATCTAGATATCAGCCATAATCAAATATATGATAAATTAGACAAACACAAATTTTCTGTGGAAAAGGTCAGTAGTACTCATTGTAATCTTCATGAGCCACATGCAGTCTCTTTTGCCACTACTCAAATCTAGCAACGGCTGCCTAAAAGCAATGACAGATGATTTGTAAATGTGTAGGCTTTGCTATTTCCCAGTAAAACTTCTTTAACACTGAAATGCAGATTTCATATGATATTCACATATCAAGATGTATTATTCTTATTTTGACATTATTTAATATATTAACTTGAAATTCAAGAAAAAAAAATAAAGACAACAGGTAGAGATTTGTTAGCAAATCACATTTTCTTGACTCCTCACCACAAATAAGCAGAACACACTAGATGATGAGCAAAAATCAGAGATTCTGATGCAGGTTTCATCCTTGCCTTGATCTTCAACCTGATAGATTTTTAAAGGATACAGTTCTTCACAGATCCTCCTTCTAGGAGATAGAAAATTAAAAGTATATTTATTCCAGGCTACTGGACTTACAACTTACTTTTGCCATACAACATGGAAAAAACAGTGTCATGCGAATCTACCTTGGTCTTCTTTCTAATCTGCTCTTACTCTTAGAAAGTAATACCATCACAACTTCATTGTACCACTAACTGGTAGATAAAAAAGCTCGTGACAAATGAATTAACTATCCCAATAGAGGCTCCTTAGTCCCTAGTTCATACATAAAGAGACCAAATGAGGTCAGAAAAACCAGCGCAGATCAAATGTGGAAGCCTCAGAGCAATACTAGCACAATTTTCTAACTTACAGGTCTCATGTAAGTAGTTATCATTAAATCCACTGAGTTTGGGAATTATGTTTAGTTACCCAGGAAAAATAAATAGATCCATTATGGCTTCTGCTTATTATGTGTAAAGCTATTCATGGTGGTGCATAAGCAGAAGAGAAATGATTATATGTGATTTCTGTAGAAGTCATGAAAAGAATGATACACTTAATTGAGGAGAAATGAAACATTTAAGAGGTTAAAAAAGGAACTGGTAGTTAGTGGGCTCCAGGCAAAATTAAAATTATCTGTTCCTCAAAATAGATCTCAAAGGCAGATATAAGCAACCAAACTCCATGTGTTTTTAAGTTCAAATGGGTAACTGGAAGAGTAAGTTCCAAATATTGTCCTATTTGATTTGAATCTTTTTTAAATTACTGTTACAAATGACCTATCTCAAAATATAAATTAATTTTTTAACTTGAACTTACAAAGGACTTTAGTGTAAGTTGTGTTCATGGATTTATGACTTCATACTTACTCATTTTTATTTTGAAATTATTTTAGAAAATATCTTATTAAATGTAGTGGGCATATTTATTGATGCACTATTCACAAAAACCAAAAATGGAAACAACATAATTGTCCATAAATTGACAAATGGATACAGAAAACATGGAACATATACAAGTTAAATAATACTATTCAGCATAAAAATGATAAAATTCTGTTATTATAACAACATCTTTCTCCCTGGTATGTGCTCAAAAGAATTAAAGATGATACACTATAGTGATGCAGGCATATGCATTTTTATAGCTGCTCAGTTCACAATAGCTAGGCTCTGAAAACCCAGTAGATGAATGAATAAAGAAAATTATATATAAATACATATATCTGAATATTATTTGACTATTAAGAAGAGCACAATTGTGTTACATGTTAGAATAGGGATGAAATCCAAGACTTCCATGCTAAGAAAATTAAGCCATGCTGAGTAGTTAAGTATGACATGTAAAATAAAGGCGATAGGCCAGGAAACTACAAGGCAGACTTCGAGAGATAGGGAAAGAGGACCAGAGAAAGACAGGAGAAAAGAGAGAGATAAGTAGTGGGATTTAGAATGATCAAGATATATTAATGAATGCAACAAATTCCAAAAATGAGCCTGTTCATTCCATACTTCTGTATTATTAACATGCACTAATATTAAAGATAGTCAGTGAAATCACAACCTGGTTTAACATAATGAGAAAATAGCTGTCATTACAAAAAATACTAAAGATTGGGTAGGACAATACTGTATACATTACTGACCTTGTATGTTTTTTAAGAATAATTATGTATGTATTTGAGAACATGTATACAGTAAAAAAGATGTAATTACTATAAATGATTAATGATAACCAAGTTATATCTATAATTTCCTCTAATTATAAAAAGTGGATGTTAGCATCAACTAAAGTGATAAAAAATTGGAATAGAGAAGCATTAAATGAGGTTTTTTTTGCAATGACAGTTTAGAAAGTTAGAGATGCCAGAAGCATAGATTTCAAAGTACAGAAGATTTACTAGATAGATCTGTGGCTAAGAAATACTAGTCAACATAATTTTAGGTTAATTTTCTGTTCATTAGAAAGTTGTAATTCAATTTTTAAAAAGCCAGTCAGTTATCTTTCATAAAGCAATTATTAATAGATTTTACCTAGAGGACATTTGTAGCTAATTTAGTACAAGATCCTACACACTGCGAACTGATCAGCTTTTACTAGTATTTCCTTCAGTGTTAGACTTCTTCAAAATATACTGAAACATGAGAACTCTAAACTTGGCTCTCATGGCCTGCTAGTTAAAGTGAGATTCTGTAGAAACAGACTAGAAGCAAGCATTTTTGTTTTAGTGTAATATTGAAGGATACTTTCAGAAGGAAGTGAAAGACAAAACACTAACAAATGCTAAAAATGAGATTCGTTGTAAGCAAGAGTCTGAATTCATTCAAACCTCTTAGGGTCCTTTGGAATAGTTATCATACTACAAAATTTACCCAACTCAGAGCCAAGAATTTGTTCTCATGTGAGTATCTCACTGACCAAGGTGAGGACTAAAGCTCTCATTCAGTAAAAGGTAATTTTGAAGCCAGAAAAAGGAGAATCTCTGAACTCATTAGCCAAAAATGAGGGCCTCTGAATAAGTATCAAAAGCTTATTTTTTTTTTAAATCGGTACCAGGGATCAAACTCACAACCACACACTTGCAAGGCAGGCGCTTCTGCCACTGAGCTAAATCCCCAGCCCAAGTACCATAAGCTTATAAGGGGATCTGAGTGGATCACGGATAGCATCCACTAAAGTTGATTTCAAGTAACAAAGTATTTCTAAACAAACATTTGAATGTACAGTTAAGTATAATTATACCTGACTGCTCTTAACTCTTTCTCCCCTCAGAGTTACTTAGAAGTGTCCTATCTTTTAGAAAATCATTAACAGAAACTTTCTCCAAATGGATTATTTGCACAACTAAATAAAAGAATGCTTTTGGAAATGGTTCCTGTACTGTTCTTGGCACCCACCACTACACAGTTTGTTTCTATATGTTCATTTACTTGTTTAAAAATAAATTTTAATATGTCTATTTAAAATTTCCAACATGATATTCTGGGATACATATAGATAGCCCAATGACTGTATAGCAAAATAGATCAGCACCTATTATTGAACAGCGGCATTTTTGGTCATGATAACAACACAACCTTAACAAAGCTTCCGGATACAATGTTGTTAACTTTGGTACTCATTTTGTAAATTAGTTCATGCCACATTTTTACTCTTTTGTACCCTTTGTCCTATTAACTCTTTATTTTTGAACTTGCTGCTCTTGATCTATTCCCCTTACAGAGATTAGGATTCTATCAAAGAATTCAAGCACTTGGCACTGTGCCTGGCTCAAAGTGAATATAACCCAAAACTTAACTCTAAAAGTGATAGTATTGCTCCCAATGTTTATCAAATAGGGACCCCTCTTGATGAGGAAAACATACTTGTGGGATTATGTTCCTGTGTGATGTTCAGAAATTAGAAAGAATGATATCTGATTTTTGCTGTTGTATAATTCAACTGTACTCACTAGGACATGATGCTACAGAGAATTAAATACTCTGAAATCAACTGCTAAGGACCATCAATTCACACTGTCTAGTTTTACAAACTTCCCTGAGGGATAAATGAAGACTTGGGATTTTTGGTATCACTCTTTGAAATTTCCCATTATCCTATTAGGGATAGGCCATCCTTTCCCATCTACTAAGACTAAGACTGAAACCACTAAAACTCATACTAAAGCTACTAAGGTTAAAATTACGATGACTAAGACTAAGACTAAAACTACTAAGACTAAAGATGTTCTGCGGCAAGATTCTTCTCCGCATAAAACTGTAGTAACTGAGTCAGTCGATAATCCCTTGCTCAAATTCTCTCCTCAGTTAATAAATGCTAAAGTTCAGCAGCCTCATGGCTCTATGTTCCTCGTGAACAACTTACCACTCTCCCCAGTGTCCCTGCTGCACTGCCATTTTGTTTCTTTGTCTTTCTTTGTTTCCACTGTGTGTCATAGCACTTCAAAGGAGACTGGGGGTCAGTGCAGGGTCTCTAATAATCAAGCTGCCCGAGGACATGGAAGTTCTCCATCATGCAAACTACAGAACTCTGAAGAAAGAAATTGAAAATGAGATAGAAAAATGAAAAAAAAAAAAAAAACACAACCACAATAACAAAAAAGAAACTTGGTCCTGCAAAGTCCTGCAATAATAATTAATACTATTAAATCTGTCACATTATCAGTATATTTAAGGCAAAAATTCTTTTAGGCATCGATGCACTTTTTAAAATTTTCCATGATATCACAATCACAGAGTATATTATATTTTTAAAACCATATCTTCTATATTTTTGCTATATACATATATGCATATATAATTGAACCATATGAATTTAACAATGTTAGACCACGTCTAAAAAAAAATGGAAATTTTATATGGTCAAACTAATATTTATACTAAGTAGGTTGTATAGGTGTGTCCTTAATCCTCTTCCACATCATTTCTTGGCCTCACCAAGAACAAAGGATAAAGATGGATTCTTTATTAGTTAACAGTTAAGTTCTCCTGATCTCAGAACAAAGGTATGATTTCTAGCCAGCAGTGAATAAAAACCTAAACTTGCATGCACCCTACCCCACACACATAAATTCTAGTTACGATTTGCTTTAGAATATCATCAAATTTATAATGCAAGAATAATTGGTGAGTTTAAATAATTGAGTTTTTCATCTGTCCACTAGATTTATTTCCCCACTGGTTGAAGTTTGTTTTAGTAGTTTTATTATTTCTAAAAATTCTTATACTTGCTTTGGTAAATTTAGTATTGTATTTGTTTGTTGTCGCAATAAAAGGCATCTTTTAACACATTTTATTTTCAAAATATTAATTACTGGTTTGCATAAATATAATCAATATTTAAACTATCATATTATCTCCATAAATTTTGTCAAGTTTTAAGATTATTTATTTGTTTATAAATTCACTGATCTTTTGATATGAAAATTTACATCTGGGTAACCACAATTTAGGTTTAGCCTATCCATGCTTTCATCCTTTAGTCTTTTCCTTTTTAAAAAATTTTTAAGTAATTCATATATTTCTTTCAGTAGACATACTTTAAAAGTTTTACTCAGTCAATAAGTTAATTAGAAGTGCTTAATTATACTGCATATTTTTAGCCTGGTTATATTTAGATATGTGTTCATACATATATAAATACATGGATAAGTAGATATTTTCTAGTAATATTATACCTTAAAATCAGATGAGGTTTCTCAATATCATTTTCACTAAAGGAATGAAGACTCTTTGAAACAATGGTCAGTACTGGGCTGGGGCAAAAACCGTATAATATAAGCCAAGGACATTATATTACTCTTGCTAATTCACCTGAGAGCACGAGCACTTTACATTTGCCAGAAACTAGGTTAAGAAACTATGCATTTGTCAAGATTATGAATTTGCCAAACTATGCTAAGAAACTTTACATTTGCCAGAAATTATGCTTGATGTGTATCCTACTATTTATTTTATGCCATAATTCTATGGATTGCATGATGGGGGTTGAGATAAGGTCTTTCTCTGTTTAGAATGGCATTGAACTCCCTATGTAGCCCAGGCTAGTTTAAAATTTACAGTAATCCTCCTGCCTCAGCCTCTCAAATGCTGGGATTATAGATGTGTGCCACCCTGCCCAGTGACTGGAATGTATGTTTTTTAATATTGATTTACTGAATGCAGCACTGAAGTTCACACAGGTTGTCTTTGTTATTTTTCTCTCATTGATGAGATAGCATACCTGATGCCCAAAATTATGGAAGTGAATGTTTATTTCTTATAGTTATTGGGGGTTTCAGTTCATACTCAGCTGGCTGCAAGGCAGGATGGCATGGGCAGGAGCAGCCATTCATGGCCACCCCAAACAGCAAAACTTGAAAGGGACAAGAGCAAAGACACTCCTTCTTCCCACCTTTACACTGTATGCCAGCTCCGCCTCTGGGTGGATGTAGCAGTCACACCACCAATCCCAGTGCCAGACAACCAGCAATCACAAATGCCAGACTCAGCCACACCCATGACTGCGTAAGTCTTGGGGGAGGGGGCATCCGAACAAATCATAAGATAAGTAAAATAGCTTTCTAAGATCACAGATATAATAAACTGGGGAAAGTTCAGTTCAAATATAGGACCATGCTTTTCAGTCAGTAGTCTAGTGCAGAATTCAGTGTTTTATGCCCTCTGTCAGGAAAAAGGTGACACCAAACTCAAGACATTCACTACTTCCTCAATATTTCTTATGCTAGTTCACTTATAGCAAACAATTTATCCTCAACCTGACATAAACTCTTTTAAAATCCAGCACAAATAACTTCCTTATCATTAAAATCCCTTAATTAGTAAAAGCAAAATTTATCTCTTTCCACAGTCCTTCCATGAACTTGTTTGTGCATGTAAAATGATGTCTCTCCTTGCTTCATAAGAGATGCAGCCATCTTCTCAAAAACTCCTATATTTCATTGCAATATTTTGTTCTTCTTCATGTTCCCTGAAGAATAAAGCATTGTGTCCTATTCAGGCCTAAGTCCAGAGCATAAGGGAAGCATAGTTTTGCTTGCTTGAAAAAAATTATATCTCTCAAGGAATTTTATCCAGATGCCTTATTTATTCGCTTCTTTTCTTGTCTTTCACTGTCTGAATATTTCAAAATATTTTATTTATTTTTCTTTTTATTATATGTTTGCAATGCATAGTAATATTGGTTAATTGGTACATATACCTCTTTTTATTGTTATTCCTGAAATCTTTCTGAAATATTCACTTGTCAATATAATTATAGGTTTCTAATAATACCTACTAGTTTTCCCTGAACTTTTCCTATGAATGCTTTCACCTGTTTTAATCCACTGAGCTCAGAGTTCTTTAACCTGGTCGAGGAAATCTTTCCTTTCTTCTTTTCTTTTCCCTTCACTTAATATAGATATGTCATACTATATTCAAAACCTTTTCAACCTAATTTTTATAGAATGTTTTAAGACTTCATTCCCTGTATTTCAAGTACCATAATGCTGCACCTTCAAATAAAATATCTCACTCCAATTTTTTCCCTTTCTCTACAAAATAATCTCATCTCATTTTCTAAATGAAACACAGAATATTTGGTTAAACCTATTCTATGTCTGCCATGATTTTAGATTTTGATTCATGCTTACATTCATTCATTTAAACTTATAATTTCACTGAATTGTTTATATATCTCATTTTTTCAAGTTATTTTTGCTGATAGTTATAACCTAATTGCAAGGAAGTAAATAGAGGTATGAGTTCTATATAGCTTCTTGAGTTTACAACATAATTCTAATAGTTTTTCCCCTTGTTACATTTTTTAAAAGTTAGTACATATTTTTTGATCTGTCATACATTGAATGCGACAAGGAAAGAAATAAATGGACCCAGTTAGGCAGACTTCCTTTTGAACAGATAAATTTTGCTATTTGCAACTAAGCACATCACTAGCCCAACTTTCTTTTTGCTACTAGGATTACTCAGTCTGTCTCGTAACATGGAACTCCAGTACCCAGCTGCAGGCTCACTGAGTTCTGATTCCAGGCCACTGGTCCGAATGGCATACATGTCTGCTTCTCTTGCCCTCACTTTTCCTGTCCTTCTTGCAGTTGATAGCACTGTTGACCCGGTCCAGGAGATAAATAACTGCATTTATTTTTCTTACAGTTGCTAGTTCTTGGACTCTTAGTACCTCTCCAGAGTAATGCTCCCCACCCAGACTCCATTCTCCAGTCCTGTGTATTGGGAGTGACTGTAGTATAGGTAGAGGTTATCTTGAGTCATGTGCATATCACGCCTTATGCTTTGTTCATAATTTTCTGAAATCGAGTTTATAGGATTTTTATTACAGTTACAGGAAGTAGAGAGAAAGAACTTTTATCTTCATTTCTATTGAATAAACAGCTTTCACAGCATGGTGGCACTCAAGTTTTTAATTTTATGAATCCTATGATCTTTCAAATGATGGGGTAAATTGAATAGGTAATGGCAAAGATGCAAAATTGTAATTGATTTCTACTATAAACTTAGATTTGTATTTTAACACATTATCTCTCCATAATTTTGTTTTCTCACTTACACAATAGAGCTACATCATCTCCATCATTGTGCCAAAAAGTCAATACACTCAATATATAAAACACTTATATCCATTTGTACATGGAAAATACTTAGAACAGTGATTGGTGCACTCAATCAGTGTTATTGCTAATCATTATCCAAATAAAATCACAACTTTCTTAAAATGTTTTTATTTTGTGTATGATTAGTGGTTTTATCTAAGACCCATTTAAATCTCTGATATTATTATGCTTACTGTGACTTACCGATTCACATTAATTTACCAATAATTATTGACTTTATTATTGAAACAACTTTTATATCATCTCTTCCTCAACATCATTATTCTGAAATCAAATATATATTGATGTGTAATAATATATTCCATTAATATTATACATCTAGTAATGAAAATGTCATTGAATTTTTTTAATATTTTGTATTCATAACTATTTTTTGAAGAAATGTGATAACTTATAGAAAATTTATGATTCATTGCCTCTGGTGTTATTCTTCTGCAGCACAAATGTTCACTTGCAACTTCCATCCTTAAATTTTTCTCTAAATTCCTGTAACTTTGTAAAAATCTTGATGGATTTTCCACCTAATTACTATATCTTCATTCAGTAACCTTGACATCTACATAGAAATTCTAAAGGTAAATGATAACTATCATTCCCTCTAGTTTCTCTAATATCTGAATCACACTACGTTATTTTTGAGGGAATGAATATAAAGTAAGGGCACTATGTTTAGAATCAATGTGACCTGATTTCAAATTCATATTATCCTTAATGAATGAACATCAATATTCTGTAAAATGGGACTATTTTTCTGAGAAGTTGGAAAACTATAGGGAACATTCAAATAGATAGATGATAGATAGATAGATAGATAGATAGATAGATAGATAGATAGAGTAGTAGATGAGATGAGGTGACGTAACAGTATGCCAGGCTTTCAGTATGTCAGTATGTGTGTCAC